AATAAACCATTAACATTTTTTTTTTTTTTCTTTGCATAACTTACTTCAATTCTATACAATTCTATTCTATTGTTAAATAGGGAGAGAGAAGTGAAGAAAAAATATATATTTTTTAGAAAAGAAGATACAAATTATTGTGTGAGACGATCTGATTTTCAGATAGATTGATCTTTTATATTTTTTTTTAATGAAAATGTATAAATGAACTTTTATATTTTATAACAAGAATGTATAACAAACCATCTAATATTATACTTTTATAGTACCAAAAAAAAAATATATTATACTTTTATTTTCTACAGTATAAAATTTAAAGTTAAAATAGTTATATATGTTGAAAAAATATGACCGTCACACTCCAAATAAAATTTTGAGATTAAGGAGAAAGAAAGAAGAAAAAAGTCAAAAAACGAATAAATAAAAGGAGATTCTACGCTCTCTCGTTATAGAATTATTCTGTCGGGGTTTGTGACCGTTAGATCAACTATCCACGACGGTTATATATAATCTAACGGTTAAAAATCCCACTGGATAATCGTCACACATTGTAGACTTCACCAGCCAATGAGCCAAATACAAAGTTGTTCATCTTTTCACATAAAACCCCCACACGTCGTGTACTGTTGGCCAATCCTCTCCTTATCGAAAAATCGTACCTTCATTCATTTCATGGCCCCTCACAAATAAAGCTTCTCATTTGGTCAGGTGGGTTTTGGTGGGAAAATTAAGGGTTCTTTTTTCTGGATGATATTTGTGCAGTTCACACATCATTTCAAATCGATCCGATTATTGAAATTGGTGAAGAGAAGATGAAGAAAATGGGCCCTGCGCAGATGCATTCAGGCAAGTAAGTTCGCATTAGGTTTTTGTTTGTTGCCTTCTGTTGTTTCGAGATTGCGTCTCATGTGAGAGCCCGAAAGAATTTGACCGAGTTAGCATTTGACGCAAGAAGTGATGATTTTATAGGCATTGGAGTCTGGACTGGTTGTTTGAAGCTTGAAATAGTTGGCAGTTTGATCGTGTTTGGTGATTTGTTGGAACTTGTTTGTCTACGAAATTATTGGGGTAGTTGACATTTGACAAACGAGTTGTTACTATTCGAGTTTCTGCTCGCTTTTTGAGCTGAATGTGGAGGTGATAGGTCGTCTGTTGATTACTTTTCCGCGAATTCGATTATTCGAATCTTTAGTTGCTCGGGAGAATTTTGTTTGATATGGGCTTTGTGTGGATATTGGTGCTGAGCAATTGAAAAGTTCAGTTTTGTGTTTTTACAAGTGGTTCATGGATGTTTGGATTATTGCTGCTGCTGCTGGTGCAGGGTATGTAGCTAAGCGTTTCAAGAAATTGAATATGGGTAAGTGTAACTTTTCAGATTCGTCATCCGAGAATCTTGAAAGTGCGACCAAGGCCCTAGGAACTGTTGTTAACCGAGTGGAGGATGATATTGCAGAAGAAATGAGTAGACCAATAGAACGGGCTCTTCCTTGTGCTTCTGCTGTAGAACTGGCTTCTACTAGCGGATATCAAACTGAAAATTTCATAATTTCAGGAGATTTTGTAGGGAATCGGGAAGTTCGGTTACATTCTGTCATGAATGAAGATATTTCTAGCAAGTCGAGCGAAGTTGGATTTTCTTATGGCTTTAGACGAAATAGAAGTAACCTTAGGAGTAGACACGTCAACAATAGATGTATAAAACCTCGTACTTCGCTCGAGAGTTGTCTTATGGCTCAGTTGTACAACGAACATGACCAAATGGAAGAATATACTTACTCTACTTGTATGCCATGGGAACCAACGTTGAGGCCGTTCATTGTGACTGATGGAAGCCAAATAATCAGCCGAGCATCTAATGAATCTTGCAGTAAAGGACTTTTTAAGTTAGGAAAAGATAACAACCGAAATTGTGCTCCAAGATTACAGAATGATGTGCCGGTGAAAAAACAGCAGGGTAATGAACAATTTATTTCTATGGCATTTAATTGCTTTTATTTCCAAATATTTTGTCTGCACTTGTTTTGTTTACCGTTTAATCATCGTAGAGTCCGTATCTTTTAGGTACTAAGATCTAATGTGGCATTTGTTTAGTCCTGATTGCAAAAACAGCTACTATTCTATGTGACCTCATTAAGAAGATTGATTCTGATAAGGACTTAATGAATTACTCGCATTTATTTTTTCTCCGGCCGCATCACAGCATTGTTGGAGATAATTGTTTTTGAAATGTTGTGACGTGGGGGCGAGGGGTCAAATGTCTCGGGCCAGTATGCCCCACGGATCTTTTATCAAATTTTTCTTTAACTGAAAATCATGTTGAGATATTACAATGTAAGCTTACCATATTTGAAAACATAAAAAAATTGTGAAACATAAATTGAGTTAAGCCATCTGATCTACAAAATAGGAGTTAAGCTGGTAGTTTGACGAACAAATAAACAAATATACAGGGAGAGAAATTGTCATGTTGACATGCTAAAATCTGTGGGAATACTGAAAGAATAAAAATTAGGGATAATTTTTTTCGCAACCTTTTCCCAAGAACCGCCTAAAGTTCCAACTAAAAAGAACTAAAAATTGGATAGAAATTGTCGTATTAACAGGCTAAAATCTGTGGGAGTATTGAAAGAATTGAAAATTAGCCAGCCATGAAGAAGATGAACATAATCAAGAGTTTCCGAAAAGGATTCCTTGCTTGAATTTCCCTTGTTTCTATATTAGTTTAGATAAATTTTAACTTAAATGGCTACTGATCAGCAATGATTATGCCATTCTAAGGTTGGATTTTTCGAAGTCGTAACCTCTGATACTCTCTCCATGTCAGGGTCATCGTCAGATGGTGCTCTTCTTTTCTACCTCGGGCTGACTATGGGCATCACATATTCTTCATTACATCAAAAAAGGGAAATCGAGAAGTTGAGAAATTCATTGAAGCAGACAGAGGATCTCGTTGAAGATCTTCAAGAGGAGCTTGAAATGAAGGATGCATCAACTTTGAAAGAGGTTGCTGTAGAGGATCACGAATCAGTGGACGTGCAAAATTATTCTTACTTTAACGATCCTATGCAATCCCTGTCACCTGAACAGAAATTGGACTGTTCTCCAAGTAACTTTAATGAAGATTATCGTGATCGGGATTCTGAGGAAGAATCTTTGAGAAAAATTGAAGCTGAGCTGGAAGCAGAATTGGACAGGTTGGCGT